TTGAGCAGCCATTTTATGAGGTGAAGATTCTGGAGAATAGCTTACTAGGCTCACTGGTTGTCGCTGTCTCAGCTTGGGATTTAGACTCGGGAAAAAATGGGGAAATATCATATACTTTTTCCCATGCTTCAGAAGATATTCACAAGACATTTGAAATTAATCAAAAGTCTGGAGAGATTAGTTTAATGGCATCATTGGATTTTGAAACAATTGAATCATATTCAATAATTATACAGGCCACAGATGGGGGAGGGCTTTTTGGAAAATCGACAGTCAGGATTCAGGTGATGGATGTAAATGATAATGCTCCTGAAGTCACTGTGTCATCAATTACCAATCCAATACCAGAAAATTCGCCTGAGACTGTGGTTATGGTTTTTAGTATCCGAGACAGAGATTCTGGGGACAATGGAAGGATGGTTTGTTCTATTCCAGAAGATCTCCCGTTCGTGCTAAAATCTTCAGTAAAGAACTATTATACATTGGAAACGGGAGGAGCACTGGACAGGGAAAGTAGGGCCCAGTACAACATCACCATCACCGTCAGTGACATGGGGACCCCCAGGCTGAAAACCCAGCACAACATCACCGTGCTGGTGTCCGACGTCAACGACAACGCCCCCGCCTTCACCCAGACCGCCTACACCCTCTTCGTCCGCGAGAACAACAGCCCCGCCCTGCACATAGGCAGCGTCAGCGCCTCGGACAGAGACGCGGGCGCCAACGCCCAGGTCGCCTACTCGCTGCTGCCGCCCCGCGACCCCAGCCTGCCCCTGGCCTCGCTCGTGTCCATCAACGCGGACAACGGGCAGCTGTTCGCCCTGAGGGCGCTGGACTACGAGGCCCTGCAGGCGTTCGAGTTCGGCGTGGGCGCCACGGACCGCGGGTCGCCGGCGCTGAGCAGCCAGGCGCTGGTGCGCGTGCAGGTGCTGGACGCCAACGACAACGCGCCCTTCGTGCTGTACCCGCTGCAGAACGGCTCCGCGCCCTGCACCGAGCTGGTGCCCCGCGCGGCCGAGCCGGGCTACGTGGTGAGCAAGGTGGTGGCGGTGGACGGCGACTCGGGCCAGAACGCCTGGCTGTCGTACCAGCTGCTCAAGGCCACGGAGCCCGGGCTGTTCGGCGTGTGGGCGCACAACGGCGAGGTGCGCACGGCGCGGCCGCTGGGCGAGCGCGACGCGGCCCGGCACCGGCTGCTCGTGCTGGTCAAGGACAACGGCGAGCCGCCGCTGTCGGCCAGCGTCACGCTGCACGTGCTGCTGGTGGACGGCTTCTCGCAGCCCTTCCTGCCGCTGCCCGAGGCGGCGGCCGACGCGGCGCGGGCCGACCCGCTCACCGTCTACCTGGTCGTGGCGCTGGCGTCGGTGTCGTCGCTCTTCCTGTTCTCGGTGCTGGCGTTCGTGGCGGTGCGGCTGTGCAGGAGGCGCAGGGCCGGCTTGGCGGGTGGCTGCTCGGTCCCCGAGGCCCGCTTCCCGGGCCACCTGGTGGACGTCAGCGGTACGGGGACCCTGTCCCAGAGCTACCAGTATGAGGTGTGTCTGACCGGAGGTATTGGAACAGATGAGTTTAAATTTCTGAAGCCCATTATCCCCAACGTCCCGCCCCAGTGCCCCGGGAAAGAAATAGAGGGAAGTCCTACTTTCCGTAATAGCTTTGGGTTCAATATTCAATGACCATAATTAACTATTATACCCTCTACCTATTTTGTTTTTGTGCCGATTCTATACCTATGTATTCCTCCAACTTCTGCGTATTTTAGATTGTACTGTTGTTAGTTTTTTATTTTCGCATGTTCTACTCACCTTTACCTTTACATGAATGTTTGTCATTATCTGTGGTTGTAATGCGGTGGTAATTTATTCTCTAACCCAGGAGGTCTTGATTTGTAATTAATCTTCCTCCTTAAATAACAATACCAAATCACTGTTCCTGACTCTCTCTCCAACTGAACTTTCACTCACAATTATACTTACGGTAAAATAAATCAGACCACTTTCAGCGTATTTTAAGTATTCAAGCATCTCTTCATTTTTTTTTTTTTGTAGTTTTTTGGGAGGTTAATACTGGTTGCTATTTAGAAATGCCATTTTCTTCCATTAAATTCATTGCATTTCAGTAACATTTTAACATGTGCCCTGGCTGGTGTGGGTCAGTGGGTTAAGCACCTGCCTGTGAAGAAAAAGGTCACCCATTCAATTCTCATCAGGGCACAAGCCTCTATTGTTGGCCAGGTCCCCAGTTGGGGGCATGTGAGAGGCAGCCAATAGATGTCTCTCTCACATACTGATGTTTATCTCCCTCTCTTTCCCTCCCCCCTTTCCCTTTCTCTAAAAATTTAAATTAAAAAATAAAAATGTTTATTACTATTGAAAATGCACCTGAAAAATCATGACCTATGGTACAAGCATGAGTATAATCACCTTGTAAGAAAGAGCCAGAAGGCACTTTCCTTAGCATCCCTTCATTATTCATCCTACAACATGATTGTGAAGGCACATTAATATTTTGACCACTCATGGAATCATGGAATATGAAGTTATAATTTTCCAGATGTCTCATGAATGTTACAAAGCTATAATGAAATCCTGTTGAAAGGAGGCACCTGAATAATATTTTGTATAGCATAGAGTAGACTTGTGTGCTACTGTGTATAATTTTTTGCCTCCTGTGTACATATACACACACAGTGGGCACTAATTTTCAAATTTAAAACTATACAGTCAATAGAAAAATTATTTTGTGTATATTATGTAACATACAAAGAAATGTTTTTAGGTAATGCTTAGCTCTCTTGTTAAAGCAATCTAAAATTTCCTATATTATTCCATTCAATTTAATTTTCAAATGTGGTCATCATAAATTGATTGAATGACCTACTGATGGGTAGCAATCCAAAGTCTGAAGTCCACTTTTCTCAGACATATATGTAGAATATTTAAAAGTATAAAAACATAGTCCTTTAAGATTCTATTTTTTTTAATTTTTAGAGAGATGGAAAGGGAGGGAGAAAGAGAGGGAGAGAAACATTGATGTAAGAGAGAAACATCTATTGATTGCCTCTCATATGTGCCCCGACCAGGTATGTGCCCTGACAGGGAATGGAACCACTGACCTTTTGCTTTGTGGGATGATAGCCAACCAACTGAGCCACACTAGTCAGAGCAAGATTCTAATTTTTAAAGAAAATTCAAAGCATTGTAAAAGTAAGCTTTCTCTCATGCTGCACAGAAACCGAACCACCACTCTGACCTTTAGTGATGTGACTACATTATAGAGGGAAAATGCTTTCATTTTTGGGGGTGCAATTAGTCAATAAACTTTATCAAAAAACCTAAAGCTTATATGTAGATAGACAAAATGAGTCAGGGTATAGAAGGAAAGGAAGTGAGTGTGTGTGTGTGTGTGTGTGTGTGTGTGTCCATGTGTGAGAGAGAGAGACAGAGAGGTTTTGGAAAGAGGAGAGAGAGTGAGTAAAATGACTTTCTATTGCTTCTAGTGCCACAGATTAGAATTAGTGCCAGAAATGGCCTCTTGAGCATATTTTTACACTTTATCTTAACATTATAGAAGAGCTGGGTGTTAGTCAGTTAACATTGTCAGGAAGTACAATCTCTTGCTTGAACAAATAAAAACTAATCTGATGTTTAAACTTCTTGAAAGCCAAGATTTCTTTATCAGTTGTTTTGAAGCTGATTAATTAGTCTTTGAATTCAAGAAAAATGGAGGGAATCAAAGTCTCTACATGCAGGCTAATTAAATTTAAATTTTCCATTTTCAAAATTGGAATTAGGGGCAAGCCTTTCTCCCCTAAATGAAAGCCGCAACAAAAACCCATATATTAATAAATCAGTTAAGTATTAAGATTACTTCCTGTCTTCACTAGATTTAGTGGGAAAAATGACGGAGGACCACTAGCTTAAAGAGATATAAAGTGTTATAGCTTCTTACCATGCCAGACAGTAATAATACTAGGAGCTAAATACTATTATTATCCCAATTTGCAAGTTAGGGAATAGAGGTACATAACTTGCCCAAGACTGCAGATAGTAAGTGGCAGATTAGAATTCTAACATAGACATTTTAGTTTCAAAATCTATATTCATAACCATTATGCTATGCTGCCTCTTAGTTCTAAGATGTTCCTTATAGGTCTTTCTATATTACTGTGTACCTATGCATATGTTGTGACATATTTTAATTACTTACTGCCAAATTTTATAGCCTGTGAGTTCTATAAAGACAAGGATTATCTCTATTATGGCATGTCTTTACATGTATATTTCTAAAAATATATAAGTAAAAAATAATAATGATATTTCTAACTATAATTGACTGAACTCAAGTGTTTACAAGAGTTGAGGGGAGAATATATTTGCAATTAGTCAAGAAGTGGCTGGAATAAAATATCACTTATTCAATTCAAGACATTTTTATGGATTCTTCTTGTCGGCATTCAAAACAGTGATAATTCAAATCACCATACAGACCTTTTTTTGGATCTCAATTCAAACAAATCAACAACTTAAAAAAACACTGTTGGAGGAAACTGGGAAAACCAAACACAGAGTGAGTATAAATTACTTCAAGAAATTATTGCTCAGTGTGTTGATTGTGCTAGTGCTATAGTAATTATATTTTAAAAGTCCTTATATATTACAGATACTTAAGTATTTAGAGGTAAAAATATGCTGTCTGGGATTTGCTTTAAAATATTGCAGATGTATTCATGAATTCTTTAAAAAGAAACAAATTTTTACTGAAAAAATTTCATAGAGACACATGGTGGCGCTGCAGGATAAGATGAAAACGGTGCATGGACCACACTGTGGGCTCCATTATTCAAGAGAACAGAGAACATCCAAACCATTCAAAAGAGAGGTATTAAGGAGCTGCACTTACAGAGCTCCTGGAGGGCCAAACACCTTCCGGGAGTTACCTAGGGAATAAACCAGAGCATCAGCTTCCAAAATTAGGATTAAACTTAAATTTTTCCACAAAAGAGATTGCTCGAAGGAACCATGGAGATCAGAGGGGCACTCACTCTGCGGAAAAGGCAAGTCCTGATTCTCTTTGTTTTGCTGGGATTGTCTAAGGCGGGGTCTGAATCTGTGCGTTATTCTGTGGCAGAGGAAACAGAAATTGGCTCTTTTGTGGCCAATCTGGCAAGGGATCTGGGGCTTGGTGTGGAGGAGCTGTCCTCACGGGAGGCCCGGATAATTTCTGATGATAATGAAAAACATTTGAAGCTCGATTTGCAGACTGGGGATTTGCTCCTAAATGAGAGACTGGATCGAGAAGAGCTGTGTGGCTCCATGGAGCCCTGTGTGTTGCATTTTCAGGTGTTATTACAAAACCCTTTAAATTTTTTTTTGGTTGAGCTGCATATCAAAGACATAAATGATCACTCCCCTACATTCTTGGATAAGGAAATACTTTTGAAAATATCAGAAAATACTGCTCTCGGAACCACATTCCTAATGGAGAGTGCCCAAGATTTGGACATAGGAAGCAACAGTCTCCAAAACTACACAATTAGCCCCAATTCTCATTTCTACATTAAAATTCAAGACAGCGGTGATGGAAAGATATACCCAGAACTCGTTCTGGACAGAATGTTAGATCATGAAAAGGAGCCTGAGCTCAGATTAACACTGGTAGCACTGGATGGTGGGTCCCCACCAAGGTCTGGGACAACTTTGGTTCTCATCGAGGTCTTGGACATCAATGACAATGCCCCTGAGTTTCCTCAGGGGCTCTATGAGGTGCAGGTCCTGGAAGACACAGCTATTGGCTCCTGGATAATCACCATCTCAGCTAAGGATCTAGATGCAGGAAATTATGGGAAAATATCTTACATATTCTTCCATGCATCTGAAGACATTCGTAAAACATTTGAAATCAATCCTGCATCTGGGGAAGTTCGTCTAAGATCTAGCTTGGATTTTGAAGTAATACAGTCCTACACTATAAATATTCAGGCAACAGATGGTGGGGGTCTTTCAGAAAAATGCACTCTTCTGATAAAAGTAATGGATGTAAATGATAATGCACCAGAAGTGACCATGCCATCAATTACAAACAAAGTTCCAGAGAATTCGCCACAGACCCTTGTTGCTGTTTTTAGTATTCGAGACCAAGACTCTGGGGACAATGGAAAGATGGTTTGTTCTATTCAAGATGATCTCCCTTTTATTCTAAAACCGACACTTAAGAATTTCTTCACTCTGGTTACTGAAAAAGGACTGGACAGAGAGATGAGAGACGAATATAGCATCACCCTCACTGTCACTGACTTGGGGACCCCCAGGTTGAAAACGGAGCACAACATCACCGTGCTGGTCTCCGACGTCAACGACAACGCCCCCGCCTTCACCCAGACCGCCTACACCCTCTTCGTCCGCGAGAACAACAGCCCCGCCCTGCACATAGGCAGCGTCAGCGCCTCGGACAGAGACGCGGGCGCCAACGCCCAGGTCGCCTACTCGCTGCTGCCGCCCCGCGACCCCAGCCTGCCCCTGGCCTCGCTCGTGTCCATCAACGCGGACAACGGGCAGCTGTTCGCCCTGAGGGCGCTGGACTACGAGGCCCTGCAGGCGTTCGAGTTCGGCGTGGGCGCCACGGACCGCGGGTCGCCGGCGCTGAGCAGCCAGGCGCTGGTGCGCGTGCAGGTGCTGGACGCCAACGACAACGCGCCCTTCGTGCTGTACCCGCTGCAGAACGGCTCCGCGCCCTGCACCGAGCTGGTGCCCCGCGCGGCCGAGCCGGGCTACGTGGTGAGCAAGGTGGTGGCGGTGGACGGCGACTCGGGCCAGAACGCCTGGCTGTCGTACCAGCTGCTCAAGGCCACGGAGCCCGGGCTGTTCGGCGTGTGGGCGCACAACGGCGAGGTGCGCACGGCGCGGCCGCTGGGCGAGCGCGACGCGGCCCGGCACCGGCTGCTCGTGCTGGTCAAGGACAACGGCGAGCCGCCGCTGTCGGCCAGCGTCACGCTGCACGTGCTGCTGGTGGACGGCTTCTCGCAGCCCTTCCTGCCGCTGCCCGAGGCGGCGGCCGACGCGGCGCGGGCCGACCCGCTCACCGTCTACCTGGTCGTGGCGCTGGCGTCGGTGTCGTCGCTCTTCCTGTTCTCGGTGCTGGCGTTCGTGGCGGTGCGGCTGTGCAGGAGGCGCAGGGCCGGCTTGGCGGGTGGCTGCTCGGTTCCCGAGGCCCGCTTCCCGGGCCACCTGGTGGACGTCAGCGGCACGGGGACCCTGTCCCAGAGCTACCAGTATGAGGTGTGTCTAATGGGAGGTACTGGGACAGATGAATTTAAATTTCTGAAGCCGATTATTCCCAACCTTCCAGCTCCTGACATTGGTAGGAATGTAGAGGAAAATGAGAACTTTAGGAATAGCTTTGGATTCAACATCCAATAAATAATTTAAACATTTAAATGTTCATTATTCTTGGAAACTGGAAATACTCTGCCAATTCATAGTGAATTTTGGTTGTACTGTAGTTTCATTCACTATTTCTCATGCTCTTGCAGTTGCTTTAAAAATCATTAGTGGCTATAATGAAATAGTTACACAGTTTGTGCATTTTCTCTTTTAATTTTATTTTTGTCAAAGAAGGCATATTGGCCCTGGCCAGATCACTCAGTTGGTTAGAGACTCGTCCTGATACGCTAAAGTTGAGGGTTGGATTCTGGTCAGGGCACATACAAGAATCAACCAATGAATGCATAACTAAGTGGAACAAAAAGTCAATGTCTCTCTCTCTCTTAAATCAATTTAAAAATTTTTAAATGGTATGTTAATGCAGTTATTACTAATTTTTTGTTGTGGTAATGGTGGTGATGTTATGCAAGGCGATGTTGATTATTTGGACTTGCAATCTAATGTCTTAAGAGTGTATTCCACAATATATGTAATTTACTTCTAGATCTTTCATTAAAGCATAGATAAAGCAAAAATTTAAAATGCTGTTGAGTCTGGGTGAAAAGTATATTGGATCTTAGTGCACTATTATCCTTGAAAAAGTTCATCATAAATGTTAAAAAAAATGCTACCTCACTATATTCAGTAGTAGGGTATCTTTTTGTTTGCTTTTTTGTTATATAGGGGTTTTTGAGACTTCATGATGAAATAAAAGTGACAACATTGGAAATTATTGATTTCTTGAGCAATTTTGCTGTTGTTGATGATGTGATATTGTGGAAGAAGAGTCTTATAATGTTCTGGGATGTGATATTTCCATTTTGTTTTCTGTAAATATACCGCATTTGCTAGTTTAAATTTGTATTATTTTATATTGTTTATTACTTAACTAGAACGTAGTTCATGGTATCATCCTGAGGAAAATAATCCTCCATCAGAAAAGACGAAAAAAAAATTCTTAAGAAATTGAAATGAAAATTCAAACTTAACAAGATAAATTAGATTCACTTTTCTATTGATATTTAGAAGTAAATATTTAAAAATCCTCAATACTTTGTGGTGTCTCACAGATATTCACAAAGAGGCAATAGGTCTGTATTTAGGGTCTATAGATAGCCTTATGATGTTACAAATTATAATGCCTCCAATCTATAAGTGGCCAGTTCAATGGATGATTATAGAAGATTTTGATAACTGGAATATAGTGCAGATATAGAGCTAGTGAATATACATTTTTGTAATTTTTTCTCATAAAACTAAATATAATGGATTAGATGATGCCACATAATGTCATTTTAACTTGACATCATAAAATGGGTGAAACAAATTCCAATTTCTTTATGAATCTTTTTTTGCTTCATGTAATTTTTACTGGTTTTATTTTGTGTTGCAACAGACATTTACTAGTGTGAAAATTTCATTTAAATAGATATTTAAGTAATAAAATCCTGAAATAGAACATTTGGGACCTCTTTATCCCTGAGAGTCATAAGAAGCAAATCATATTATTCTTATGCATTAGAATAAGAATAGGTAAAAACAGAATATTCTCTTTCAATAATAAGAAACAGAATTGTAGACTACCAGAGAGAATAGATCATTTTATGTGAAAGAACTCAGTCAGGATAGAGGAAGTGTCAAAATTCCTGGGGTTGGGAGGAAGCCGATTAGTTAGCAAATTTATTGGGAAAATTTGCTTACTATGTAAAGAAACAAAATTCTGTCTCATGCCATATAAAAATAAACTTCATATGGATCTAAGAGGTAAATATGAAATATTTTAATATGAAAAATGTAATAAATCTAAGTAAAAATATATTTATACCCTTACTATTGGTTTGAATTTCTTCAACAAGGTTTTGAAAGTACAAAGAATAAAGATAAATATTGACAACTATTACTGCCTCTGAACTAAAGGACAGCACAGACAAGCTAGCAGATGAAGACAGGGGGAAGCTGCTTGTAGCATTTTAACTGAGAAGCATTAATATTTAGATTATTCAAATAACTTTTACAGATCAGCAAAAATTAAAAAGTCAGTAGAGCCAATAGGATTTTTTTTTAAAGAACAAAGGGGAAAGGAAATTCAAAACAAGATAAAACAGAAAGTCTGAAAAGAACATGAAGTAATATTCAACTTCGATTGCTGAAACAATAGTGAAATAAGACACCAGTTTATACCTATTGCATTAGTAATGATGAAAAATTTGGGTACTATTAAATGGACCAATAAGAAATAGCATGTACAGCCTATTTCAATAGATTGTCTGCAGTATTTAGTGAAATTTAGTATGTACATATCCCATGATCCAGCAATTCTACTTTGGGGTATACCAAAACAAACAAACAAACAAACAAAAACCTCGTAGCCAGCTTTACAAAATGATGTGTATAAGAATGTTCATCTTAGGAGTCCACCTACATATCCCACCAGTAAAGCAATCAATAAATAAATGTAAAACATGGTTGTGAAGGAGTATTACACAATGATTGAAAGGAGTGAAGTAGGTATACATACAACCACATGGATAAATCCCAAATGTTTTAAAAGGAAAAAAGAGATTGGATTTATAGTAAAGTGCCACATATATCCACATAATACATAATGTCTAATATTTGTAGGAAATAGAAATATACACATATACATTTTGGAAGATGACAAAAAGGAATAGATGTAAGAAAGAAGATAGATGTTTGTTTATATATAGGAGAATAAGGGTACAGAGAGATGTAGAAACTATACCAATGTCCATGACAGAAACTGTCTCTTCTAAAAAATTGTTAAAATTGATTGCAGCATTATGCAGTTGATTTAGTATTGCTCATTTCTCTATGCTTTTGAGAAGGTCAATTGCCCATGCCCCATGAAAGCTATGAGTTTCCTTGTAATTTTGAGATACAGCAATATTCTTGATATTTTACTCTTTTAATAAGGATAGTATAGATTACATAAACCAACACTTTCACTGAAAACAATATCTAATAAGACATATATATTGTCAGGTCACAGTTACTACTTAAAGGTAGCCTAGAGAGGTAAATGAGCCCTAAATCCACTTTTTCCTGGAAACACTTGGAATCCTGGGAAATGTGAGCCCCTATTTTGATGGTTTATATTATATAATGAGGGAGACAATCAAAGCATAATAAATTGAGAAGTTTATAGAAGACCTTCATATTGATAAATTCGAATCCCTAAGAACTACAACTTTATGAATGGGTGGGGGAAGCCTTGTGTGTAACATTAACTTTGAACTTGATTCTTAGCAGTGAACTTGATTTAGGGTGGTCACTGACAGTTAGTGGTCCCAGATCCTGATAGAACCAAATGCAGACATTCTTTGAAAGAAAGTTTTTTTCATCCTAAGCCTAGAATTATTTATATAAATAATTTTATGTTCTTAACTTGAACACAAAAATAACTGCATTCACAAAGAAGCATAACACTATGAGTGAGAACACAGAAATAAATTTGCAAACACTTCACATTTTTAATTATCAGGCACAGTCTATAGTATGCTAACTACTTTAATTGAAACAAAAGTTATATGTGAAGATGTCCAGACAAGAAACAAAAAATTAAAAAGATTAGAACAGAACTCCTAGAACTGAAAATTAGGAAAATCAAAATTTAAAATTGATTATGAGTAGTAATATAAAACTAGATATACTCAAAGAATTCACAGAGTGAAAGAGGTCAGAATATAATTTATCCAGCATGCAGCTCAGAGAGTTAATAAGATGAAAAATACTTACAATATGATGAGAAACATAGGACAGAGTAAAAAGGTTTAACATATATTTAACTAGAATTACAGAAGAATCAACGAGAATGATTTGTTCAGAAATAATATTTGAAAAAAATGCTGGGAATTTTACAGAATTGATAAACACATCAAAGCAGATTCAAGATATATGAATAAACCTAGCAGGATAAATAAAAGATAACCATGACTAGAAACATCATTGTGAAATTTCAGAAAGCCAAAGACAGAGAAATTTTTTTTTAAGGAAAAGCCATGGGAAAAAGACATCTAAACTTTAAACACAAGACTGTTATACTGACAGCTATGTTCCATGTTGACAATTCTTCAACAGTAGCAATGGAAACTAAAATAAAACAAGATATCTTCAATGTGCTAAAAGAAGTTAGCCAACTGTCCTGCCAAAATAGTGTTTGCACTTAAGAGTCAGGAAATGAGAGAATCAAATCAACTGGATATCAGTTTGGTTTTTAAATGAATCAAGATCATGAGAGAGAATTGCTGCAAAGACATTTTACTCTCAAATATAAATTCTTATAGTTTTTCTCTGTCTCTGCTTGGCCAATAGTCTGAGTGCAAGAATTTGACCTGTTTCTAGCCTTCTTCATCTAGTCACTTCTAATCTAGTATTGCCACTTATTACTATGGCCACTCTCTGGAGAGGCTACCGTCTCTAAGAGCTAAAATCACAAAATCAAACATACTTTTCTTAATCTACAAGTTACAGTCTTTCTCCAATAGTTTTAATCACCATTTAAATCAATAAATTCTAAATGTGTCTTTGCAACCTAAACTTATTTTCTCAACTGCATTTATGTAATGAAAGCTCGTTACGTAACCAGTTACATGGATGCTCTATGGGCATGTCAAACTTGACATGTTTTAAGTTAAAATCTTCTCTTCCTCAAAATGAAATCTTATCTAGCTCTATACCCATTTCTTTCATCTCCTCTTCCTGTATTTACTTTATCATTTCATAGCACCATCACTCACTCAGTTCCCTAAGCCTGAGGAAAATACACTTACTCTCCCTCGTTATTCCAGTGACTCTATGTCTAATCTATCACCACATCCAACATATTTTATCTTGATCATTTTAATTACTGCATTTCTAGTTGAGGCCCATCTTGTTGCTTACCTGCATTTACTGCAAAGATGTCTAATCAGTCTCCTGCCTCTAGTCTTCGTCCTTTATAATTAATTCTCAACTCTGAAACAGGATAATCTTTTGAAAAATAAAAACATGTTCATGCCACTTTTAAATTCAAAACCCTTTAATAATCTTGCATTTCCACTGATGAAGAGTCCAAATGCCTTGTCATGACTCACAAAATATTTGCTTATCTTTCCAGTCTCAACTCTCACAATTTCCCTCCTTTTGCTGTATGGCTCAACTGTATTGATTCTATTTCAGTTCTTCCAAAACCCTTCTTTCATTTCGGATGTCACATTTTTAGTTTTCCTGGGAATTTTACCTCACACCGAATTTGTTTGGATTACTCATACTTGTCTTTCATGTATCAATTTACAATACCCTTTTTCCAGAAAAGTCTTTCCTGGTACTTCCAAATTCTGATTAGATAACCCTCATCTTTGCTCTTATAGTAGCATAAACTTCTGCTATCGTGGCATTCAATATGCTCCATTTTAAATGTGAGATTACTTTTGCCTTCATCTTTCAGGACAGAAACCATGTCTACCCATTTACCACTCTATTCTTAACACTTATCACCATGCCTAGCACAAAGTATATGTTCAATCAATATTTGCTAACAAATTATTGAATGGATGAATAAAATATTTAAAATTATGCCTTTGGAAGACTTGGGTCTGCAAAATGGCATCCAGTTCCACAACTAAACTAGGGTCTAGTTTTTTCAACTTTTTTTGATGTTCAGAAACTGAAAATATCTTACTTCTCTCACTTCTGTTGAGTATTTACTTTCTATTGTTGCCAGATAAATCTTCTATGGAGCATGCCTACATAAATGGTACCATTTACCCAGTCTGAAATGTCAACCACCCCCAAACAACTATTTGCATATTCCAAGTTCGGTTTCCAGTGCATGACCTTACTCTCATTGTCTTAGAGTATTTGCTGACAGCCAGAGATAGCTAAGACCTCTGGTGTTTCTGGGAACCTATTGCTTACTAGTTCTGTTACATAGAAGAGCCATCTTAAATATGTTCAGTTGTTTTATGTATTGTCTCCATAAATTATTTGAAGATGAGAGAGAAAATCTTATTTGAGGTTGGGGCTGTATCTTAAATATGCTTTTTATATCCAGCACAGCTCTAGTTTATTGTGTTAAGGACTGAATAGCAACAGCATCACATATCACGAAGAATGCAACTCAGAAAATAGGAATATAGGAGAAAATATAGTTTAAGTCCATCAATAAACACACAAGGTAATTTAACACTTTGTCTCAGATTTACCTGACTTTGTTTCAAGTCTGAGAATCTGCAGAGTCGCGTGGTGGCGCTGCAGGATAAGATAGGGAATTTTTGTTACATCAGAAGCCCTGGCTTCCGCTGATCGGGGGAACTGAGAGTGCTGAAGAAGCGAGGGGAAAAGAGACTTTCAAAAGAAAGCTAGGCAGCCTCCAAAACCCTCTCAACAGGATTATAAATCTATAGAGTACCAAAGGCTCAGGCTAATAGAGAGGAGCAACTCCCAGAGCTGTTTGAGGTCCAGTTACTGCAGAAAGGCATTTGGCTAAGGAGCCATGGAGCCAGGAAGCCCTCAGCATATAAGGCAAGTGCTGCTTTTCTTTGTTTTCCTGGGAGGGTCTTTGGCGTGTTCAGAGACCTTGTGCTATTCTGTGGCAGAGGAAATGGAGACTGGCTCCCTTATAGCCAACGTGGTGAAAGACCTAGGTCGCGAGGGTGTTGTGGAAGACCTGGCTGCACGGGGGGCCAGAGTCATCTTTGATGATTATAAACCATATTTATGGTTGGATCAGCAGACTGGCAACTTGCTCTTAAATGAACAGTTGGACAGGGAGGCACTTTGTGATCTCACGGAACCATGTATATTGCATTTCCAGATGTTATTTGAAAATCCTTTGCAATTTTTTCAGGCTGAGCTTTGGGTCAAAGACATAAATGATCACACTCCCATGTTCCTAGATAAAGATATACTTCTGAAAATCTCAGAAGGTACTGCTCCAGGAACCTCATTCCAAATGGAGAATGCACAGGATTTGGATGTAGGAAAGAATGGTGTCCAAAACTACACATTAAGTCCCAATCCTCATTTTTACCTTAAATTACAAGACAGTGAGGACGGCAGAAAATATCCAGAGCTTGTATTGAATCAATCTCTGGATCGAGAAAAGGAGCCTGAGCTTAGATTAACGCTGACAGCCTTGGATGGTGGGTTTCCGTCCAGGTCCGGAACTGCACTGGTTCGTATTTTGGTTTTAGACATCAATGACAATGCCCCGGAGTTTGAGAGACCTGTCTATGAAGTTCAGGTACCAGAAAACAGCCCTCTGGGCTCCTTAGTTGTCAAGGTATCTGCTACAGATTTGGATGCAGGAATAAATGGAGAACTATCTTATTCATTTTCCCATGTCTCCAGAGACATTCGGAAAACATTTGAAATCCATCCAATTTCTGGCGAAGTCCATTTAAAAGCGCTTCTGGATTTTGAATTAATTCAGTCTTATACAATAAATATTCAGGCCATTGACGGTGGGAGCCTCTCGGGAAAATCAGCAATTTTAGTTCGTGTTGTAGACGTGAATGACAACCCACCGGAAATAGTCATAACATCTCTTAGCAGCCACATTCCAGAAAATTCCTCACCTGAAATGGTGGTCGCTGTTTTTAGCTTACGAGACCAAGACTCTGGAGATAACGGGAAGATGGTTTGCTCAATTAAGGACAATCTTCCCTTTCTCTTGAAGCCCACTTTCAAGAATTTCTACACCCTGGTAACAGAGCGGCCACTGGACCGAGAGACCAGTACCAACTACAACATCACCATCACCGTCAGTGACATGGGGACCCCAAGTCTGAAAACGGAGCACAACATCACCGTGCTGGTCTCCGACGTCAACGACAACGCCCCCGCCTTCACCCAGACCGCCTACACCCTCTTCGTCCGCGAGAACAACAGCCCCGCCCTGCACATAGGCAGCGTCAGCGCCTCGGACAGAGACGCGGGCGCCAACGCCCAGGTCGCCTACTCGCTGCTGCCGCCCCGCGACCCCAGCCTGCCCCTGGCCTCGCTCGTGTCCATCAACGCGGACAACGGGCAGCTGTTCGCCCTGAGGGCGCTGGACTACGAGGCCCTGCAGGCGTTCGAGTTCGGCGTGGGCGCCACGGACCGCGGGTCGCCGGCGCTGAGCAGCCAGGCGCTGGTGCGCGTGCAGGTGCTGGACGCCAACGACAACGCGCCCTTCGTGCTGTACCCGCTGCAGAACGGCTCCGCGCCCTGCACCGAGCTGGTGCCCCGCGCGGCCGAGCCGGGCTACGTGGTGAGCAAGGTGGTGGCGGTGGACGGCGACTCGGGCCAGAACGCCTGGCTGTCGTACCAGCTGCTCAAGGCCACGGAGCCCGGGCTGTTCGGCGTGTGGGCGCACAACGGCGAGGTGCGCACGGCGCGGCCGCTGGGCGAGCGCGACGCGGCCCGGCACCGGCTGCTCGTGCTGGTCAGGGACAACGGAGAGCCGCCGCTGTCGGCCAGCGTCACGCTGCACGTGCTGCTGGTGGACGGCTTCTCGCAGCCCTTCCTGCCGCTGCCCGAGGCGGCGGCCGCCGCGGCGCGGGCCGACCCGCTCACCGTCTACCTGGTCGTGGCGCTGGCGTCGGTGTCGTCGCTCTTCCTGTTCTCGGTGCTGGCGTTCGTGGCGGTGCGGCTGTGCAGGAGGCGCAGGGCCGGCTTGGCGGGTGGCTGCTCGGTCCCCGAGGCCCGCTTCCCGGGCCACCTGGTGGACGTCAGCGGCACGGGGACCCTGTCCCAGAGCTACCAGTATGAGGTGTGTCTGATGGGAGGCTCGGGGACCAGCGAGTTCAAGTTCCTTAAACCCGTTATCCCCAACCTCCCACCCGAAAATCCTCAAATGGAAGAAAGCCACACCTTTCTGAATGGCTTTGGGTTCAATTAGGGATTTCTTTGTTATGCAAAACTTAGAATGAATGCTGTTTCTTTGTAAATTTATTCATTGTAATGTAAAATTCTTTCGGATAATTTCACTAATAGCTCAGAAATTTCGAAGTCTGCATTCTGCTATTCTTTATATTAACTGTGTTCATCAAAACTGATGGAGCTAGATTTCGTTTAGTCTTTCTTTGAAAATGCAACCTCAAATTATTTAAATACAGCGTGAAGCACAAGTAGGTTTACAATTGTTGGTATGGAAAATAATATGATTAATAAATAATAATATAAGCTTGCAATATTGTGTTTGCATACTCACAATTGTAAACCTACTCTTGCCCCACCCTGTATATAGAATTTTTCCTTCAAGCTTAATTGCACACTTAACTCAGTCACCTTCTCAGGGTGTTCTTACCAAAACAGTTTTTATGTTTCATACTATTATTTTAAAGAAAAACGCATAGTGTGAGTAGAAACAATTGTTTTATCATTTGGTTAGGTTGGTTTTTAATGTATCTTTTAAAGATTTTTAAAAGTGTAATCTTTCCATTCTCTTCTGCCAAATATCTCTGATAATTTTTACCCATTTAGGTATTCTCTGCATAAATATTTTATGAACTGTATATATTGCTGGTAGGTGGTGCTGTATGAAAATAAATTCTAATCTTATTTGGATTAAGGTATCCAGCCACTCTTCTTTGCTGAGAACTTCCCAGTATGACCCAAGAGAAATAATCACTATTGAGATGTTTGTTCTGTTTTTCTTTACTCCTCCTGACCATTTTCGATTGGTCCAGTAATAGATGCCTGATAAAAACAGGAGTCACATTCTCCAAGCCCATAAATTGGCAATGAAGATGTAGTTCATCTATTTTTTTTCTTGATTGCTTGTAACTGGGAAATAAATGTGGGCTGAGGTAGCCATGAGTATTCCTCTTTGGACTGGCAGCACAGAATTTCCTGTGGAGAGGGAGAAAAGAGGGAAGGGAAGGAAAGAGTAAAGGTGAGAAGGAATAAAGGAATGAAGGAAGCAAAACAGGGGAGACTAAGACACCTACTTGGTTCTAGACCTATCGGTTTCTGCCAGTGTCTCCTAAGTCCCCAATGTCTAATTGCCCTTGAGTTCTACAATAAGACTCCAGTTTCCTAATAATAAAACTTTTATTTACCCCATATTGGGGGCAGGGTGGGCAATACTGGAAACCAAAAGAGACAAGAGAGAAATGTGCGATCTTGAGTACTCAGTTAGATTATGTACCAGGAAACCGAAGTCTCTCGTTGCATGCTTCTAATATTAACTTAACCAATGAAAGAATAAAAAATGTACAAGCTTAGAGATAACTAATTTTTATTACAGAATTCTGTTATAAAATATAATTTCATAATTTATGAGGCCCTTCAACAGAAAAAAATGCTACAAAGAGTTAACAAGTTTCCTTCTATTATTTTATGTGCCCCAGGACCAGTTTTTAAAAGTAACACTAAAATTGTTATTATTTAGGTGTCATTACCTTTCCTTGGGATCATCATATCCTCCTTAGAGCCTCTCTCTTTTAAAAATTATTTACTGTGAACAGAATTATTATTTAATGTAAAATCTTCAGGATCTACAATTTCTAGATTACTATATAGGTTGATTCATTATTTCATTAAGAGTAATAAGTATTTGATTGACATATACTCTATTACTAAAAAGCCATATGAAAAAAACATTTTAAGGTTCCTGCCAAGTCTGCAGGCTTAAATTTTTTCTCCTTAGTAAAGAAAAATAAGAAGAAAAATTTTTTGAGAGATGACAGATGGAAATGAAAAACTAATTTTGATCCATTTTTCCCACTAAAATAGATACCAGCTTCTACTGATTAATTTTTTAAATGCATGAACATTAAGGGTACATTTTATTGCATATTTAATTTCATAATAAAGAGGTTGGATCCATGACCAAGATCTATGAGGAAAATTATCAGATATAACTGTAACCAGTGTGTTCTTATATTTGGAAGTTTAACTTAATTAAATTTGTTTTACTACATAGAGGAAAATATTCTAAAATAGAACATCAGTTTGAGTAACTTGTATCTTAATAGAATTAAGCCAATACTCAACATAATATTTACACTTGGCCCAACCTGTTTTCCCAATTAGTCAGGTTATAGGAGTGTCAGAATATGTGATAATGTCTATTATTTAAACAATATTAAAATATTGGCTAAAGTTTGGTGCAGTTGGTCCCTGACCCCAAGATATTTTTTCCATCCTTAGGAGTAAAAGGACTTTAGTCCCATGCTAGGGTGACAGGGTCTTGAGCCATCCACAGGAGCTATGTGAGTTGCTTGCTAAAAATAAATTGTGATCTTTGGTACTTAGGAATAAGTGTAACCTGCGCTTTCAGATGAACCTAACTTATTTTCTTATGCACTTTAATTTTCACTGTAACTTCAGCCCTTTATCTTGTGATCTTGACTTTCCCACTTTTCAAGATCTCAGTGAATTTTAGTAATAGATATAGATGTTCTTTACAGATTGTCTCAGAAAATACAGCAGTCAATACAACAATGCTTTCAGAGATACTAAGACATTCTCCTTAGACAATATTTACAAATAAGTTATCCTCAGTTCCCTAAGTTATCTATTTAATTTGCATAATAAACCATTTCTAGCTGGTATGTCACTTAAGTTTATACTCCTGAAGTATGTAAATGAATTTTTTCATTCACTGTGCTGGCAATGTGTTGAATTTGATTTCTTTAGGAACAGACTGGTACCTACACAGTTTTTTTCCTACTCAAACCCCAAGAATACAGGCTATACAATATTTTAGACATTATGTTGTAAACTCCAGGACGACAAAGAAGGTATTAGTATTCCCAGCACTTAGTATACTGCCTGACATATAAAATGGAATCGATGTTTTGCTGAATAAACAAATAAATATAGTTAGCTTTGTTTTTGCATCATTTCCCAAAGTGGCTGACACCATGTCTACATTCACAATCTCACAGGAAAATAGAAGTTATCATTTTACTTATAAACCACCCTATGTATAATCCGTGGTGGTTGCTGTGTGTGTGTGTGCATAAATCTGAACGAGTAGAATGCGTTTTGTAGGATTTCCAGCAAACTAGGTTAAGTACAACACATGGTGGCGCTGTAAGCTAAGGCTGTGGAAAACAGACCTGCGGAGGGTTACGTCGTGAGAGTCATAACACAAACGTAGCTGAGAGAAGGGGATTCTTAACGGAATTGCTTGGCGGCTAGGATCCACTCCCAGGGCCAACAGCCTACAGACCCTACCGGCATCCGACCCTAAAGACTTCTGGCACTGGAAAAATGGAAGCTGAAGAGGAGCGCTTTCCTACACTAAGGCAAGTCTTGCTTCTCTTTGTTTTGCTGGCTCAGGCTTGCGCGGAGCGGGAAGCTTACAGTGTCGCAGAAGAAACAGAGAGCGGTTCTTTTGTGGCTAATCTAGCAAAGGACATAGGGCTGGAGGTGAGAGAGCTGTCTCGGAGGAGGGCTCGAGTCATCTTTAACAACAACAAACAACACTTTCAGCTGAACCTTCAGACAGGAAATTTACAAGTGAATGAGAAACTGGATCGGGAAGAGCTGTGTGGTCCCACTGAGCCTTGTGCGCTGCAATTCCAGGTGTTACTGGAAGAGCCTTTGGAAGTTTATAAGTTTAAGCTTTTGGTCAGTGACATAAATGACAATCCACCTGTGTTCCCAGAAGCAGAAATGATTTTAAAAATCATGGAAAACGCTCTTCCAGGGTCGGTGTTTCCCCTGAAAAATGCACAAGATTTAGATGTAGGCATCAATAACGTTCAAAACTACACCGTCTATCCCAACTCCCATTTCCACGTTCTTACCCGAAATGGCAGTGAGGGCAGAAAATACCCAGTGCTAGTTCTGGACAAAGCTCTAGACCGAGAGGAGCAGCCTGAGCTGAGGTTAACTCTCCTGGCAGTAGATGGTGGAGCTCCTCCCAAATCTGGCACGGCCCTGGTCCTCATTGATGTTTTGGATATCAATGACAACGCCCCTGAGTTTGTGCAGCCACTCTATCGTGTGCAAATCCTGGAAAACAGTCCTCTGGGATCGCTTGTTGTTACTGTTTCTGCTAGAGATTTAGACATGGGAATAAATGGTGAAGTGTTCTACTCATTTTTTTATGGTGATGAAGAGATAACTAGGACATTTGCACTTAATGAAATCACAGGAGAAATGAAAATAATTAGGGAACTAGATTTTGAAAAAATTGAGTCATATGAGGTGGATATCAAGGCGTCTGATGGGGCAGGTCTTTCTGGGAAATGCACTGTCATAGTACAGGTGGTGGATATAAACGACAACACCCCCAAACTGACAGTAGCTTCACTTACAAGCTCTATCCAAGAAAATTCCGCAGAAACCACGATAGCTCTTTTGAGTGTTCAAGACCCGGACTCCGGGGAAAATGGAAGAATGGTTTGTTCGATCCAGGAGGATGTTCCTTTCACACTGAAACCTTCCGTTGAGAATTTCTACAAGCTGGTAACAGAGGGCCCTCTGGACAGAGAGACCACAGCCGAGTACAACATCACCATCACCGTCACCGACATGGGGACCCCAAGTCTGAAAACGGAGCACAACATCACCGTGCAGGTGTCCGACGTCAACGACAACGCCCCCGCCTTCACCCAGACCGCCTACACCCTCTTCGTCCGCGAGAACAACAGCCCCGCCCTGCACATAGGCAGCGTCAGCGCCTCGGACAGAGACGCGGGCGCCAACGCCCAGGTCGCCTACTCGCTGCTGCCGCCCCGCGACCCCAGCCTGCCCCTGGCCTCGCTCGTGTCCATCAACGCGGACAACGGGCAGCTGTTCGCCCTGAGGGCGCTGGACTACGAGGCCCTGCAGGCGTTCGAGTTCGGCGTGGGCGCCACGGACCGCGGGTCGCCGGCGCTGAGCAGCCAGGCGCTGGTGCGCGTGCAGGTGCTGGACGCCAACGACAACGCGCCCTTCGTGCTGTACCCGCTGCAGAACGGCTCCGCGCCCTGCACCGAGCTGGTGCCCCGCGCGGCCGAGCCGGGCTACGTGGTGAGCAAGGTGGTGGCGGTGGACGGCGACTCGGGCCAGAACGCCTGGCTGTCGTACCAGCTGCTCAAGGCCACGGAGCCCGGGCTGTTCGGCGTGTGGGCGCACAACGGCGAGGTGCGCACGGCGCGGCCGCTGGGCGAGCGCGACGCGGCCCGGCACCGGCTGCTCGTGCTGGTCAAGGACAACGGCGAGCCGCCGCTGTCGGCCAGCGTCACGCTGCACGTGCTGCTGGTGGACGGCTTCTCGCAGCCCTTCCTGCCGCTGCCCGAGGCGGCGGCCGACGCGGCGCGGGCCGACCCGCTCACCGTCTACCTGGTCGTGGCGCTGGCGTCGGTGTCGTCGCTCTTCCTGTTCTCGGTGCTGGCGTTCGTGGCGGTGCGGCTGTGCAGGAGGCGCAGGGCCGGCGTGGTGGGTGGCTGCTCGGTTCCCGAGGCCCGCTTCCCGGGCCACCTGGTGGACGTCAGCGGCACGGGGACCCTGTCCCAGAGCTACCAGTATGAGGTGTGTCTGACCGGAGGCTCAGGGACCACCAGCGAGTTCAAGTTCCTGAAGTCTGTTGCCTCCAAGCACCCGGGATCTATGAATGGTGTGGAGGAAAACCCAAATTTTGTAAACGGTTTTGGATTCAGTTAGGGATCTGTTAATTTTTCAGCGCATTCAAGATGAAGGTTAGTTCTTTCTAAATATACTATGTCTCCATTACCAATTTTTATCCTCATAGAATTTATTTGCTTTCATATTCTCAGTTAAGGAGATTAGAAACTTTAAGTACATACTTGTATTTATTCTCTTCTTATCGGTTCTTTTAGATTAGGACAAAGAACTTACAACTTCATTAGTAAAAAGTCGTGAATATTCAATTTATCAACTTCTCATCATCAACCACTATTGATTTGGAGATAGTCCTAGCACCATACTCTGTTTGAATGTTGTCCAAAAACAATTTAAAAATTATAGATGTTGTGGTTTCTTAGGAGACAAGCATGATACAAATATAGTGAGCATTAGTCTATCTGCAATTTAATATATTTCTGCCTGCCTGTCTTAAGTTTCTAAATGGAGAAATGTCTGCAAAGATGCATGTTTTTTTCCACAGTGGTATTAAATAGAAAAACTACACTCTTCCACACTTGAAATATTTTCACCTCTTTACATCAACCTTCAGTGCATGATAGATATGAGTATTCTTTTTAATTAGATTTATTGGTGTGACATTGGTTAATAAGATTATATAATTTTGAGTGTACATTTCTTGATACATGATCTGTATTTTGCATTGTGTGCCTACCACCCAAAGTCAAATCATCTCCCAGTCACTATATTGAAAGTGTATTCGATTATTTGCAAATATTTATAATAATAGATCCCACCTATCTCTTTCTGTAAACTTCTCCCTTCAGTAGATGTCTACTGTCGCAGCCATGTTTATCTTAACAAACCATCTTTTTTTGTGATTTCAGACAGACAAGTAGTAGACATTGCTGACCTAAGCTGTGCCAATCTGTTTCTCTCTGTTTAAAAAAAAAATGGCTTTAGAAACCAGATATAAAGTGGTCTCTTTGCTAGGAACTTAACAAGAAAACGATATCATGTTGGCTAAATACATGGAAAGAAGTATAGGAAATCAACCTACTTAGAGACAGGAAGGAAGGAGGTGCCCAGAGAGCAACCTCATTGTACATTGTTTAGTCTCTCCCAAGTGTGCTTTCTCCCTTGGGTTTTTGGAAGCAAGTGCTCTTTTAATAAACTTTGCTCTAATTAAGGTAGCTAGGTGGGCTTTACACTTGTCAAAAACATGTTTAGATATTCTTGTATGGCTGAAACTTACTATTATTTTGACATTTAAAAATTGTGGTCATCATCTAAATTTAACAATATTTGGGTCAAAAGATGTTGGAATATTAGTAGTCTGTAAGGGACAAGCACAAGCTTTTGTCAGGCTACATATTTTGAGACTTGACAGATATTTCCAAATTGTACAGTTTCTGGAGTGTTTATCAGAAATTCTTAGAAAATTCTATATTACAAATAGTTTTTAATATCGTTAGTGTCACAATAGCATTAGTGTGAAATAACATGTTTGAAAGAAATGTATGCCTTATATGCGGAATGACTATGGCCTAGCTGTAATGTTCTTTCCTTTTTCACAAAGTATCCTTTTGTTTAGGGGGAGTCGGGGTAGATTGCCATTTGATGAAAAACATTTTAGATTATTCAGAATTATTTTAAATTACTATTCAAAAAAGCATAGAAAATAGCTACTTTAGAACATGGTGTCTCATCTAATGAACTCAGATGCTAGCAAAAATGGTGGGCTTTTCTGTTAGGTGGAGAATTCACCTGTCAAAATTTTTAATTAATTGTGATTCATCCATTGATCTATTCAACAAATATTTGTTGATTAACTGCCTTGTGCCAGAAACTAGCTGTTTAGGGATCTCCAAGTGACAAAACAAAGTACTGGAACTCATGTTTGACACATAGAAGAAATAATTAAACATGTGCATATATGCTATATCTGATGGTGATCAATGCTAAAAAGATGAAGCTGGCTGAGAGCTATAGAAGTACCCTCATATGCATTTCCCCATAGCTTGAAAATTTCATAAAATCACAACTCTCTGACTTTGTAGAATGGATATGTAAACTGCAATTAACTAGTAGCTTTTTCCTTGATTTGATTCAACCAAAGAGAGCAACAATTCTGGAAAGTGTGCTGCCTAAAATGTGAAAGACAATCTAGAGAAATTCATCCCATATTTCAAGAGAATTTTAAGAAATCACATAGGTATACACTCTTATTTTTACAAGATGACTGATCACTATTGAGTCTCCATCCACTTCTCAGTTTTACTCAGGGCACCCCACTGAGACACAAGCTCTAGAAGATAGAAACCATTTCTGAGTTGTTTACTTATGTATTTCAGCATCAGTACATAAGATATTAACAATACATCTTTGAATGAAGAAATAAATAATTTCAATGGCAGGGTTTTCTGAATACATTATATACCCCAAACATTTCCAAACTCCCAATAGATCACTGGTATTACTAGGTAGATAGATTATTGAGATTACTGGATTATTACAGATACAGAGAGAATGCAATTGTAGGAATTCTTTTCTAAAACAACGCATGGTGGCGCTGCAGGCTAAAGCATGGGGGAAAAGAAAAGAGGAGGGGGGAAAAAAAAGCCCAGGAAATTCAACTACCTCTACCTCAGATCTCTAGCGGAGAAGAAAAGCCTCTAAGCGGAGGAGAAGACCAGTAAGCCTCCAGGTTATGCTACTCAATGACATTTCCAGACAGATTACCAAGCGGGAGATTCATCGCTGTCTCAGTGCAATTGCTCCCTAACGCGGAGCTGGGCCCAGTTCCTGCAAAGGTGTCTGTGGAATAAAGATGGAGGCCGCAGGGGGAGCGCTTTCCTAAACAAAGGCAAGTCGTGATTCTCTTTCTTTTGGTGGAAGTGGCTCTGGCTGGCTGGGAATCCCGTCGCTATTCCGTGATGGAGGAAACCGAGAGCGGCACGCTTGTGACCAACCTGGCCAAGGACCTGGGGCTGGGAGCGGGAGAGCTGGCGGCACGGGGAGCCCGGGTGGTCACTAAGGATAAGGAAGCCCGCTTGCAGCTCGATCTGCAGACCGGGGATTTGACAGTAAATGAGAAACTGGACCGGGAGGGCATGTGTGGCCCCGCTGATCCATGTGTAATGCATTTCCAAGTGTTGCTGAAAAAACCTTTGGGAGTATTTCGAGCTGAGCTACTGGTGAGAGACATAAATGATCATTCTCCTGAGTTCCCTGAAAGAGAAATGACGCTGAAAATCCCAGAGACTAGCCTTCCTGGGACCGTGTTTCCCCTGAAAAAAGCCCAAGACTTGGACGTGGGCAACAACAACATCCAAAACTACAACATCAGTCCCAACTCTCATTTCCACGTTTCCATCCACAACAGCAGAGATGGCAGGAAATACCCAGAGCTGGTGCTGGACAAAGAGCTGGATCGCGAGGTGCAGGCCGAGCTCAGATTGACCCTCACAGCACTGGACGGCGGTTCTCCACCCCGGTCTGGCACCGCCCAGGTCCACATCTTGGTCTTGGACGTCAATGACAATGCCCCTGAGTTTGCACAGAGGCTCTACCAAGTGCAGGTTCCAGAGAACAGCCCTGTAGGTTCCCTAGTTATCAAGGTTTCAGCTAGGGATTTAGACACAGGGACAAATGGAGAGATATCATACTCCCTTTCTTACAGTTCTCAGGAGATAAGCACAACTTTTGAAGTGAACAGCCTTTCAGGAGAAGTCCGACTAATCAAAGCACTGGATTTTGAGACCATATCCTCCTATGAGCTGGATATAGATGCCTCTGATGGCGGAGGACTTTCTGGAAAATGCGCTGTCTCTATTGAGGTGGTGGATGTCAACGATAACTCCCCGGAACTGACTATTTCATCACTTACCAGCCCCATTCCGGAAAATTCCCCAGAGACAGAAGTGGCCCTGTTTCATATTGGAGACCGAGACTCGGGGAACAACGGAAGGATGACTTGCTCCATCCAGGATGATCTCCCCTTCCTCCTGAAACCAACAGAAGAGAATTTCTATACCCTAGTTACAAATGGGGCTCTGGACAGAGAGACCACAGCCGAGTACAACATCACCATCACCGTCACCGACATGGGGACCCCAAGTCTGAAAACGGAGCACAACATCACCGTGCAGGTCTCCGACGTCAACGACAACGCCCCCGCCTTCACCCAGACCGCCTACACCCTCTTCGTCCGCGAGAACAACAGCCCCGCCCTGCACATAGGCAGCGTCAGCGCCTCCGACAGAGACGCGGGCGCCAACGCCCAGGTCGCCTACTCGCTGCTGCCGCCCCGCGACCCCAGCCTGCCCCTGGCCTCGCTCGTGTCCATCAACGCGGACAACGGGCAGCTGTTCGCCCTGAGGGCGCTGGACTACGAGGCCCTGCAGGCGTTCGAGTTCGGCGTGGGCGCCACGGACCGCGGGTCGCCGGCGCTGAGCAGCCAGGCGCTGGTGCGCGTGCAGGTGCTGGACGCCAACGACAACGCGCCCTTCGTGCTGTACCCGCTGCAGAACGGCTCCGCGCCCTGCACCGAGCTGGTGCCCCGCGCGGCCGAGCCGGGCTACGTGGTGAGCAAGGTGGTGGCGGTGGACGGCGACTCGGGCCAGAACGCCTGGCTGTCGTACCAGCTGCTCAAGGCCACGGAGCCCGGGCTGTTCGGCGTGTGGGCGCACAACGGCGAGGTGCGCACGGCGCGGCCGCTGGGCGAGCGCGACGCGGCCCGGCACCGGCTGCTCGTGCTGGTCAAGGACAACGGCGAGCCGCCGCTGTCGGCCAGCGTCACGCTGCACGTGCTGCTGGTGGACGGCTTCTCGCAGCCCTTCCTGCCGCTGCCCGAGGCGGCGGCCGACGCGGCGCGGGCCGACCCGCTCACCGTCTACCTGGTCGTGGCGCTGGCGTCGGTGTCGTCGCTCTTCCTGTTCTCGGTGCTGGCGTTCGTGGCGGTGCGGCTGTGCAGGAGGCGCAGGGCCGGCTTGGCGGGTGGCTGCTCGGTCCCCGAGGCCCGCTTCCCGGGCCACCTGGTGGACGTCAGCGGCACGGGGACCCTGTCCCAGAGCTACCAGTATGAGGTA